GGGAGGGGGGGGGCGGGGGGGGGGGGGGGAGGGGCACTCCAGCCCTCCCCCTTTTAATTGGTTAACCAATTAAATGGGATTTGACATCCCTAACCACAACAAGGTTGGGGGTTGAGCCTCCCCAGGAATCCTGGCCCAGCCTTGTCGGGATCACAAGGCTTCTGCCACCCAGGAGCATGGAAGGGGAGCCCCCGAGCGGGGACTCGGATCCTTTCGCCAGCCTGTCACCAGGGTCGTGTGCAAGCCAGGAAAGTGCCCCACAACAGTGGAACCATTCCCACACTTCCAGTACCGGCGTCGGCGGGGGCTGGAGAATTAGAGCCGTGTGCCCGGGCCGCTGTGACACGGGGGCAGGAGAACTGCGGGACCCGCAAGGAAGGAACTAACTGGACGGAAGTGTGTACGCTGGCTTGGGGGAGCTAGCTATCCCAGCTCTGCCCCATCTGTGGCCACTAGTCCCTGCCCCAGGCTCGTACTCCCCCTGGGGTGCCAGGCAGCTGGGCAGCACAGCCCGGCCCTGCAGAGCGTGGAGAGGCCAGTGGTCGAAGAGCCGGCCGCCCGCAGCGCAGGAAGCAGCAGGAAGACTGGCGGTGAAGGGCAGACGGCCTTGCCTCCGACTCCCACAGCCCATGACGTTGTGTGTGTCCCTGGCTGCTCTGAGCTGGAAGTGGCGAGTCTTACAGAGATGGAAGCAAAGACGATGCATGTAGCAGAAAATACTGCGCCGAGGAGAGCCGGGAGGTGGCAAGACAGCGGCGTGCGTGTGGAAGGAATGCGGAGGGGATGAATTTGGGACAGCATGACAGGCTGGAGAGCGTGTTTGAGGCGGGCTGGGCCTGTGCTAGGAACCGCAGAAGAACATACTGCAGCAGCTAAGAGCCTGGATACAGGGCTGTGTCTGAGGCCACCGCGCCTGCTGGGCCCTGGGGTTGCTGACACCCAGCTGCCCCCCATTACGCTGCTTCAGGGAGCCACACGGCACGAGTTGCAAATCACAACTGGGCCGGCACCCAGCAGCTCTCCAGCTTGCTGTCCCCATCGCCACACGCCCATCCCTGCTGCGAACATGGCACGACCGGGGCAGCCCCTTGGCAGAACAGAACAGAAAGAGGCTGCAGCCCTTTCCGGGGTGCCCAGACCCCCGCACCAGCTGTGCTGCTCCCGCGATCACTCACCTGGAGGAGTCCCTGCAGCTCACACAGGTAGGCCAGGGCCTGTTCCTTCTGCCGGGCAGCCCCTTTCTCTGTACAGCCTGCAGCCAACGCGCACAGCCGAGGAGAGGGGGAAGAAAGGGTTAAAGCAACTGCTGCAAACAGTCAACCCGACTTTCCCCAGCCAGCAAGCGCCTTGTCCCCCCAAAAAGAGCCTTGCTGTTAACTAGCATGCACGGACCCAGGGTGCTGGCCGAGCGAGCAGCCAGGAAGGGCCATCGGACCATCTGATCTGGCCTGCTGCCCAAAGACACCCCTCAAAGTGATTCCGTCCCCTGGAAACTAAACTGTTGGGCCAAGGTGCCACCAGTGCCCTTGGCGAGAGCAGCCAAGAGCCATTTCGGCGTGCCAGGCACCAGCAGGGGACGTTAGCATCCCGGGGTGACTGGGGGGGGGGCGGCAAGGTTGGACTGGTAGGTGAGGGTCCCCACACTTCCACAGGAAGGGACACAGAGGCTTGGTAGGGATTCTCCACCACCTGCCCCCTCGGTAGGGTTGCCAGGTGTCCGGTTTTCACCTGGACTGTCTGTTATATGGGTTCCCCATCTTGTAAAAAAAAACCCAGCTGTTTCCCTCGGATGGAAGCCCAGCAGGGACAATTTTCCCCTGCTGCGTCTGACGGGGGTAGGGGAGTGAGGCGTGTGGGGCCATTTAAAGGCACAGAGCCCTTTTTTTTCTTAACAACTTTGGTCTCCCCTTTTTTTTCTCAACAGAATCTTTTCCCAATGGTGGTTTTTTTTGGGGGGGGAACGAGGGGGACGGACTCGGTATTATTTGTTAAACCATCCAGCAACCCTAGCCCTCGGGGATCTCCAAGCCCTCCGCGCACACTGACGACTGAGCCTCCTACCCCCGGGATCAGAGCAGCTTTTGCGGCCAGGAAGAAGCCCTTACTTTGAATCATCTTGTTCAGCTGGCCCAGAAAGGCATCGCACCGGGAGCACTTCCCCTGGGAGCGGCTCTGCCCTGGGCCCCAGCTCTGTGCCTCCGGGGGGCTGGACACTGGGTCGCGTCGGGAGGAGCTGTCTCTCAGGACCTCCACTTCTGCCAGCTAGTCCGGATGCAAAGGGAGGTCAGCCAGGCCTTTCGAGGGGTGACCTGCACGTGGGCCCATCGCCGGGACTGCCACGATCCGCCAGGATGTCCAGCGGGACAGGGCCGCTGGCCTAAGGAATAGCTTAGCGTATTGGGAGAGCAACGCCCCCTGCCACGCCCCTGCCACCCCCCGTGCCAGCTTCCTCATCCCGCCTGCGAATGGGCTGCTGTCTTGGCTAGCGGGAGCCCCCAGGAGAAGTGAGGAGTTCAGTCTCTAGGGCTGAGACTGCCAGCTCGGATCCCCCCTCGGCTGCCTCCATCCCCTAGGAGCCAGGCCAGTCCCCTAATCTCCTTTCCTGGGGGCTGCCAGCCCCCCACCAGCTTTAAGTGCCCACGGAGATGGGCTGGATGTGACAGGTCAACCCGCTGGTCTTCTGAGCCACCGCCCCTCGCGATAACACCCCACACCATCCGGCCGTGAGGGCAGGGGACGGCTCTAGGTGAGCTCCAAAGGTCCTATCCCATGCCCGGACCCTCGCTCTTCAGCAGCAGGGATTCCCTTGGGGGACAGAGATGGCAAGGACAGGGCCTTTCCACGCCTGGCTTCGCGGTCAGCGCCCATGTGTAGCACGGGGTCGGGGAGCCGGCGCTGGGAAGGAAGATCCGGCTCTGGCAGGTGACCGTCAGCATGGGAATGTGGCGACAGCCCCGCAGGCCATGGCGTCAGCCTTTCCCGGGAGGACCCTTGTGTCCGGCACGCACAGGTCACACGTGCCTGCCCCTGGATGGAGGGACTCACGGGCCTTCCTCAGGCCTTACCTTCAGCTCTAAGGAGGAGGCTTTGATCTCCAGCTCGGTTTTTTCCATCTCGCTGGCTTGTCGGAGGTGCCTCAAGGCCTGTTCTCTGTGGACACAAGTTCCTGCCTTGGGTTCCCGGGAGGACCCTTGTGTCCGGCACGCACAGGTCACACGTGCCTGCCCCTGGATGGAGGGACTCACGGGCCTTCCTCAGGCCTTACCTTCAGCTCTAAGGAGGAGGCTTTGATCTCCAGCTCGGTTTTTTCCATCTCGCTGGCTTGTCGGAGGTGCCTCAAGGCCTGTTCTCTGTGGACACAAGTTCCTGCCTTGGGGAACCGGCCTGTTTCCCGGAGCCTCCGCTCCCCACCCGCCCGCTGCGACCAGGGGCCTGGGCATCCG